ACCTAGCATGCACGCGTCATTCTGCGCATGCCCCATACACGCACTACCATGTTCAGCACAACGCTCACTCAAACCCAGAATCCTCCTTTCAATACCATCTACCCGGTCATCACCTCCCTCACACGACAGCACAGCGTACACTATCCAAGCATCGCCTCCCTCGTACGGCAAAACAGTCCAGGCGTCGCCTCTCTTGTGATGCGGGCCGCAGCTTGCGATCCTATCTTGCTTCATGGCCTCGGGGCAAAAGGCTCTTGCTGTTGGCTGCCTTTTTTATTCTATTCTTCCCTATTGGTGCTGCACCACTCTTTTATTTTATGCATTGTGATTGGTGGAGCGTTCGCTGGGATAACGACTGTTATTGTAAGTGACGGCTTCCGAAAATTCGGATATCAGAGGAACATGGTGAGGGACAGGACGGGGACGAGGCGGCGACAGCCTCCGTCCACTTCCGATACTGGTCCTTTGAGTGTCTTGAGAGCTTCGATTCGTGCGTGAAGTGACGTATTAATACTGTACTACATGGTACATCATCGCTGTCTCTAAGGGCGGCTAGGGGTACTCTAGATGCCATTTTATGCGCAGGTTGAGCGGACGATGTAACATAATGAATGCAGTCCGTCCACTAGCGTACGCTCGGAGAAAGAACGTGCGAGCTAACGTAATCCTAATGTGAATTCTCGTACATTGTCCTCGATCGGCACTTTAAACGAGGGATTACCAGAGTGATTGTAGTTATTAAAATTCAGTAGTGCGTAATGTTCCTAAACATGACCTGAACCGGTTCCATGTCACCGAACCGACGTAACATTAACTAGTATGATCATGGTAGGTTTTATACACCATGCGGGACCGAGTTCCCAAGTTCCACAAAAAAAATGCAGCACTGTCTCTCTATATGTTCTTTCTATACTACCCCCTACCCCCTCTCTATAATTTATATATATTTAAGAGTATAAGAACTCGGAGCCCGAGCACCAACGGAAGATGTCAATGTAACCACAGCCCTTCTAGTTATTAAAATATGGTTCCGAAAATTTTCGAACCAGGGTTCCCACAATTAACACATATAATTGCAATTCACTTTATAATTGAAGCACCACAGCAGCTCTAGTAAGTACTTGTCTGGTCCGAAAAAGAATTAACAGTTCTTTAAATCGGCGATAACTTTGGTCGTACAGCTCCAACGGAAGCGTGTTTGAGTTGTTTGAGTTAGTTTGAAAGCTCTACCTACTTACGCAGCATCAGCACGATTTTTTAATGATCAAATTTCCCGCCAAATTTGACCATTTGAACTATCACTTTATGGAGGGTAGAGTTTTTTTTTCGCTTCGACGTCAAAAATAATCCAAAAGGAAAACAACTCAACACACCTCAGAATTAAACTTTAAAATATACTAGAAAAAAGCAAATAAAGCTTAATCTAGTGGTATATCACTAAAAGCAATTCAATCCATTTTTGTGTCAATTACTCTCTATCCGCGTGCATACAAATCCTCATATGAGCTCATTTTAACCAATCGAACCCATCTCAGAGTGGACATTGACCAATCAAACATGCGAGGCTTTTTTATCTCATTGTTAATTCTTTTCTGGACCAAAGAAGTACGGCATCATTTTGGAACCGGTTCGGAACGCGGTTTTGGAACCTCGGAACTGCACACCTACTCCGATTCAAGTTTGACTTCCATCGCAAACTGCTGTATCTTGCACACGTTCTCATAGCTTGGCGCCATCATCCTCTTGCGTTTTGAGTCCAAATACCTTTGATATTTGAAATCGGTGAATCTGTCAGGCGGAAGCACGAAGAACAGCCGCGGCTGTTCAGGATTCCCCAGAAGCTTCAACACATCGTGGAGACCTTTTTGCTTGCAGGGGTGTTTGTGTGCACCTGTCACCTGCAACAAAATATCCGGCTTGATGATCGCATCGACCGACTGGTAATTCTTCGCCGCTGGCTGTAGGTAACTCGTGTTAGTAGCAGCTTCAATTTCACTGTCATCATTGAAAACGACAACTTTCTCGAATCTCTCAAAAGAAATAACAGGTGCGGCGCCACCGTCGACCAACGCCACAGCAGTGGATTCTTCCATCGCAACGGAATCATCTGCATTCATGCCATCATCACCATCCTCGTCATCGCCGTCCCATTCATCTTCCATAAGGTCATCATCATCATCGTACGCCTCGTTGTTTTCGACCAAACGTCGAACTTTAAACGTTCCACCTCGCGGCAGTACCGAATGCACATGCCCTTCGAACAAGTGGCCACGAAGCACAGCAAGAGCACCAAATCCATCCGAGGCAGCAATGACTCTAGCAGCTTCCGCTTATCCTTCTTGTACAACACGATTGTACACCGCTTGCTGAACATATTGCGATGCAAAAACGATGTACTCGCTGTCAAAAGCTTTGCTGACGCGATAGTGCAGCAATCGATGCGACACTTGAGCGTCGTTCGCATCAAGTTGACCACAGGCTTTCACCAACCAGTCGAGATCAACAATGTCCATTGCTTTTTCAAGCAACAACTGCTGGTTACGAACTTGTGAAAATCGCAAGACATAGCGAGCAATACCACCCCATCGACGAAAGCACTTCTGCACGACGTCCATAGGTGTATCCGAGTACATCAGCTTACGACATTGTAGAATCTCCTTCAAAGACCACACTGGCATGTAGCAGGACCGGCAATTGGTCTTGTTGAACTCGTACCAGATGGAGCGGCGCGGCGACGTCAAAAGAATCGTCTTCGCTGGGTAATACGCAGGCTTGACGGCATCCACGATGTAGTATGTAGTCGGCTGGTCGAGAATGTGCACAAAATCTTCCTGAGATCCTTGAGCCACCACATTGTGAGCAAATAAAAAGCGCTTCTTGAGGCCACCACTCTCATATACCACCGTTTCATTAGTACGGACAAGATGAAGCACGATCACATAGCCGAAAAACGTCTTGCCGATTCCCGGGTTGCCGAGGATCACGAGATGCGGTGTGTTCGTCTTTTCATCGTGGATCCTCTCGAGACAAAGTTCCCATAGCGCAGGGTAGCAATGACGAATGTAGATACGAGAGCCGAGTGTCGAATCACCAAGAAGATACGTGTCTCGGGGTAACTCGACCAATGCGCCAGCTTTCACGTCGGTACTGTCGTTCAGAAATGCGTTCCAAAATGCGACCAGTGCTGGCGGATTCAACGACATACTTTGCGTGATTGGGATATGAACGTCGCCCACAACAAGTTGACGATCTCGAGGCAGCTCAGCTTCCGACAATTGTGGCAGTTCCACCAGCACGTGAATCTCCTTGCGACCAGGCTGAAAGTTCTTCCCAAAGCAATCTTCGTCGAGAATCCACGACGAAAGCATCTCTTCATACTCGGTGCTGATGCCACCTCGCAAGAAGCCTTTCACCGTGTGGTCGTGGTTCATCCACGTGGCTTCCCCCTGCTTCCGCGCCAAGTAGAGCGTCAACCTGGCAGGATCAACTTTGAAGCGATCATTGACGTCTTTCTTCTCGTTCACAATGGCCTTCTGCAGCGCGCTCACTTTCGCATTGCTCGCTATCTTCACGGGAAACACAGTCCCTTCGCCGTATACCGCGCACTCCAACTCGACCTCTGCCATCTTGGTGCGGAAAGTTCTCGACTTAGCAGCAGCACTCATTCACGCAACACACCGCTCATTTTAACCAATCAGATCACTTCAAAATATTTTTTTTATTTCTGACAAATTTATTCCTCAATATATAGGAACTAAATAATAGTGAGTTCATCTTGAGCGGTTAAATTAAATATATAGAAAACAATGTGTAAGTACATCTTCCCAGAAAACCACCTCAAGACGAGCCAACAGTGCGACCCAAAAGGCGATTGGTGCCGACACCACGCAAAGTTTCAGCCAGCAGTTGCTGAACCTGTAGTTGCTGAACCAGTGATTGCTGAACCTGCAGTTGCTGAACCAACGATGACCAAGTCTATTGAAGAAATTTATGGTGAGCATTGTATTCAGCACATGAAATCTGTCGATAAATACGATCAGCCCAAGTTGGGGGATTCACGAGTTTTATCACCAAGTGATTGGATCAAGTCGAAGATGCACGTAGTTGGTGATTCCGTTGATTACAAGCATAGCGATGATGTCACGCCTGACTTTGGCAACAACGTATACTGTGACGGGGTCACACAGCACCTTGCGCTAGAGGAAGTTATCTTCCGAGAGTATACAAACTCTCAGTAAACGGCAGTTCACAGATCCCCTCTTTTTTCAAAAGAGAGCGAAGTGACCTAATTTAAGTAGAATGTAAACTGAGTATATTTATAGGTAGATAAAGCTTGGGTTTAATACAAACTATAAGCCACCTATAGAAATGCAATGTCGTTTGACCAATGGTTGGCTTTGAATGACCTTGGTACTTTGTACCAAATATCCCGAAGTATGACGTGTCACACTTCATGTAACCTGGGTACACTTAGGGATACGTACCCCGCTACATCCCCCTCCCCCACTTAGGTTCGGTTTACCGACCAATCAGAATGAAGAGGTGTTCGTCACAAACTCTCATTCTAAAAGTCGAAAACCATCGACTTGGCCGCGCGAGCGCGGCGGAGGCTCACTTCACAGTTAGAGCCTCGAGCAGCAATCTGTGCGCTCTTCTTTTAGGTCTCCACTTCGACCGTTTATCATGCCTCGTGGCACTGCACATAGCGGTGCGAAGACACACTCCAAGGCTGCTGCCGGAAAGGCGCAAGCCAAGAGCACTAAGCCTCACGACAAAGGCTCGGCACTGAAGAAGGCTACTCAGGTGGCCTCCGAGGCGATCGGTTCCTCGGGTGACGCGGCTGTGGGCAAGCGAGCAAGCAAGCGCCGCAGACCGTCGCCCTCGGCCTCTCCAGACAACCGTCCGAACCCTCGGTTCGTAGAACGTGAGTTCGACTGTGGCGGTGAGGGCGAAGTCGAGTCCGAGAGCACGCACGACGCTCCTGCGGGCTCTGTGGGAGGGCACAGCCCAGTGCCCAGTGAGCACAAGGACGACAGCGTGCAGTCGCTCGCAAGTGATCAAGGTGATCACGTCTGTCCGCTCTGAGAGTCCGGCCGTCGAGGCTAAGGGCACTCCCAAAGCTGGTGGCGATGAGGAAGAGATTCCTCGCAAACGTCTCTCGCTTGCCGAGGGTCTTGCGCGTGCTAAGACCTCTAAAGCCGAAGGCGCCAAGCCCTCAAAGAAGCGTACGGCCTCTAAGTCTCCACTCCGCGAGGAGAAGGAGTCTCGACACTCTTATCGGAGCATCTATGACTCCTCGGATGAAGAGGAGAAAAGGAGGAAGAAGATGAGGAGGAGGGTGCTATCTCTGAGCCCCGGGGGGTCACGAATGACCTCGACCAGCAGCAGGAGGATTTCCAAGCTGCCCAGCGTGTGCGTGGGGGTTCGGTGGCGGCACCCGTCAGCCAGGGAGTTGCCATCAACCTAAGAGGGTATTGGCCTCCCGAGGAGAGCTCTGGGGCTGACCTCTTCTTCAAGCTTCTCGTCGCTCCTCGTGGCCTTGTGGGCGGCCACACTTCTAGGGGCATTTACGAACGTGTCCTTGTTCAGAAAGAACAGTTGTTCGTTGACAACTTGGAGGCTGCTCGGTGTGTGCTTCTCACGCCACACCGCATCCCCTTTAAGGGCTTCACGACTTGTCGTAAGAAGCCCGTGACCCGAGGTGGCCTCTATCCTCTTTGGGGATACCTCTGGGTTATGCCCGAGAACTGTCCCACGTGAAGTTCTTGTGCGGACATGTTCTGGGCATGGGTGGAGTCTCTTAAGTACTCACCCACGGAGTTACGGGAACTCCATGAAGATCAACTGCTGTCCCGCATCCTGGACCAGCGTGATCTTCGTGTGAGGTTTGCCCACTTGGTCAGCAAGCGCACGCTGCCAAGGGACATCCTGAAGCGCGCGGCTTCCAGCGCTCACGATGAGCGCGGGTACGGAATGTATTCATCGTCCGTACCCTGTTCGGGCAAGAAGCCCCGGACTACTTATGAAGCTGCCGCCGCTTCTGTTCCCAGATTGCGACAGCCTTCTGGCAGTCAATCAGGAGCCGTTCAATCGGCTCCCACGAGTTCTCGGAGTGGGCATAACCCCTCCACTTCACGAGGAGCTGTCGCTTACTGCGACACCGTTGCTCCTGGAGGATCCGCTCCACGTGGAAGTGGACTTCTCCATTCCGGTCAAGCGGGGGCGGAGGTGCCCTCGTACGAGTACGAGTACTCGGCGCCTCCCGAGAGCCACTCTCGTCCGAGTGCTCCGACTGCGGGTCCGACACGGGACCCTGAGGTTGACCGCCTCCGTCAACGTGTCCTCGTGCTTGAGATTGCACTTGGCCTTGGGACTGGCGGTGATGCTGCTGCCCAGGCCGGGAATCAGGGCGAGCTCGCTCGTCTTGCGGGCCGCCTGTAGGAGCAAGAGGTTGCGAGCCTGCATCTGCGGGTGGATCGCCGGGCCTCTTCGTCCGATGTGGACGAGGCCTTTCGCATGATCCGACGGATCGGGGCTCTGCTGCCACGTTCGGAGCCGCCTGCGGCACACTCCCAGACGTACGCGTATAGTGCGTACCCCGCGTACTCAGCGTACTCAGCGTACTCGGCGTATGGCTCCGGGGTCCGTTCGCACGGAGCCCCTCCGGCGTACGGTCTTGACCGCAGCCTTGCCGTTCCGACCGAGGCTTGGGTGCCTGCTCCGACGCCCTCGTCGACGTCAGTGACCGGCCCTCGCTTCGAGGAGCTGGGACAAGGTTGGTCTGCGAGTCAGCAACCCCCTGCGGATCAAAGTACCGCTTAAGACGTCCAATATAGAACGTCGGGTGCGTCGTCATTGACTTTGGCAGGTCGATGCTGTACGACGCACCATGTCTGGCCAGGACTGCAAATGGTCCGATGAAGCGGTGCTTCAGCTTGTTGCTGCCGACAGAGCTGGCAGTGTCAAGAGGTAGGTTCGTCGTGTCTAGCAACACTAAGTCCCCCACCTTAAATATACTTAAGTTTCCTCTGTCATGTTTGTCGGAGTACTCCTTTTGTTTATCTCGGGCCGCTGCCATGGCATCGCGGACCCTGCTGACAACGCTCAGATTGGTATCCATAAACGATTCCACTTGTTTCCGCAGCGCAACTGGTCTCACATCCGAGACCGGGGAGGAAAGGGCTTTCCGAGCCTCTCCTCCACTTAGAATAGAGGAGTCAGTGTCTCCTCGAAGAGTGAGAGGCACTCTGGGGTGACGGAAGCCGTTCAAGTAGAACGACGTGAACCCCGTGGACGCGTGCACAGCGTTGTTGAGCGCAAACTCAACAACTGGAAGCTGCGTCGACCACGTACGTGGTGCTGCCGCGCACACACTGCGCAGAGTGTCCTCGAGCACTCGATTGACGCGCTCTGTCTGGCCGTCTGTCTGCGGATGGTCCGCAGTGGACATCTGCAGACGAGTTCCCATTATATGGAACAGCGTTATCCAAAACGCAGCCGTGAACCGCGGGCCTCGGTCCGAGCCAATCGCCTCCGGGAGACCGTGATAGCGGAACACGCCATTAACGAACAACCTTGCGGTTCGTTCGCCCGTAACAGTGACGGGAACCGGAGCAAAAAAAACGATGTACCATCTTGCTCAGCCGACACACGAACACCAAAATTCCGGTGTTGCCGTGCCGTCGGCGGGAAGCCCAAAGATGAAGTCAAGACTCATCGACTTCCAACAGTCAGCCGGTACGGGCAGGCTCTGTAGTGGAGCCGAAGAAGCCCTGCGGGTTTGACCCGCTGACATGTTTTGCATGTCTTAAAGTACCGGGCGACATGTGAATCCACCAGAAGGACTGAGAGACCGACAGAAAATTCTACTCGCGGCCCAAGTGGCCGCTGGAGGGCGCGTCGTGCGTCTCCGCGAGGATATCGAGCTTCAGATCCTCGTCGTTGGGTACGACCACCCGTGGAGGTTCTCTGGGCTCCACCCGGTAATAGAGGAGGCCATCCTTAAACTCATACCGGTGGAGCCGTGAGCGCTGTCGCGACGAGAGCCAGTCGGACTTCGCGCTCGCTCCTGCCATAAGGAACTTGACGATAGGCGCGACAGCCTCATCGTCCCGATACGCCGTGCGTATCCGATCGTATAGATCTGTTGTCACCCGCGTGATGTGGGCCAACTCTAATCAGCACGCCGCGAGAGGGCGCCCGCAAGCACGTTGAGCTTGCCCGGCTTGTATTCGACGCGGAAGTTGTACTCCGCGAAGAAGGACAGCCACCTCGCCATCCTTTGGGAGAGGTGAGGCGAGTTAGTCACCGTCCTCAAGGATGCGTGGTCTGTGTAGATCACGAAGGGCCGAGAGCCCAGAAGGTGAACACGAAGCTTCACAAGGACATATTTTATTGCCAGGAGCTCCGTGTCGTGGACAGAATAGCTCCGCTCGGCGGCTTTGAACTGCCAGGACTGAAACGAGATGACTCGTTCGTGTCCAGCCGTGCCGGTCTGCAGCAATGCACATCCGATGGCGTAATCGGAGGCATCGCAGACGACGCTAAACGGCTTCGTCTGATCCGGCAGGGCCAGGACAGGGGCCTCTTGGGGACTGACCTTGATGCTGTCAAAAGCATCCTGGTG